AATAATGAAATTCATACCATAAATTTTGTATATACTAACACTTTTTTTCTATAAATATGGCACAATACTTCAATCCCAATTTATATATTTTAATCTCAACAAAAATCTTTTGCAAAAATAAAATTAAATAATTAATATGTCCAAGGAAAAATAACACTAATTTTGTTGAATCTTAACTATACTCTAATAATTTGAGTACTACAAAAAAAAATGAATACCAAAACATTGGTTCAACTAGAGACTAGCAATCAACGTGAGGGGTGCTAATACCTCCCCATTGTGTAATTGACTCCCGAACCCTAATATTGGTTGCGATGACCATAACCTTGTATTTCTTTTAGAGTTTTGTTCGATATTCTCTCTTTTCCTCGAAGGAATAAATAAAGTAAGCCCATTCCACAAGCATGTGATTGCACTTCGCTAGGTCGTGCACTCATTTTTCAAGGTACGACAAATGGCGACTCTGTTGGAGAATTTCCCATTCCTAAGTGAGTCAAGCTTAGTTTAGGTTTTGTTGTGTGTGTTTATGTATGTTTACTTGTGTGAATTTTCCTTTATTTTATGTTTTATTATTGTTAAATTATGATATGGCTATATTGAATCTTTAGTACTTAGGTATTTCTGATTGCGAACCTTGAGGGAAAGACTTTATACCCGAGTCTAGAATAAAAATGTAAGATAGGACAAGGTTGAGTAGTGTGGGTCCACGAGATAAAGTTATCGTTGGGTCGATATGAGAATCTCACTCAGTGTAAACTCACTGGTGAGTCTGTGACTCTAAGAACCATGTATAGAACCTTTATTGTCGATGGTTTTATAGTATGGGCCCGCGAGATGAATTTCTCGTTGGGTCGATACGAGGACCTAACACAGATTAGATTCATTGGATGGAGTTTACGCCTGGATGGTAAGTTGTCGTAGGCGGTAAACAGACTAATGGATCCATGACTTTGGGAACTCTTTGTAACCCTAGATCATACCCGGTGAGAACCCTGTTTTGTGTAAAGCAATCAGATATATCCATACCTCGAACCTTTGAACCTATATAAAAATGCATCACATTCATCCATATGCATTGCATCTGCATAATAAAAAGAAAAGCTCTTAATTATCTCTCATTTGTTTCATGAACTTGAGATCTTCGCAAGCTTTTAAAAATGACTACAAAAAGAAGAAACACTTTTGAAAATAACTAAGATAACTAAGAGCTTTGCACATAAAAATGCATACATATATGCATCTATGCATTCATATCTTCTTCAAATAAAAGCTCATTCCATTGTCTTCCTTCAGTTTCACACTAAGTCTTTAAGACCACTACAACACCAGAACCAGTGCTCAACAAATAATGGTCGAGCATGAATAAGAATTGGATAAAGTGAGCTCTGAGCTTAATGGTCTGCGAAGAAGCGTGGGTCAAATTATGGAGATGTTACAGGTTATCAAAGCTAAGGTGAACACTCAAACAATGATTATTTCATAGATCATCGGTCCAACGCTTGACCCTTAACCCACAAGAATGGTGTCTTCTACATGGCCTCCTGTTGGTCAACCTTATGACTTCACACCTTAATTTGAAAGAGCCTCTGATGTAGTGAAATCCACTCAACAGACTATACCTCTACCAGATGTCGTCGAGGCTCATCCTGTGGTTTACACGTTTGCACCATCCAATGTCATGCACACATGCAACCATATTTTGAAGATTAACACTAGATCTATCATGCTTCATATTTGTTTGACGAAGAAGATGAAAGGCACGGGGACATAAAGGGTATGAAGGAGAATTTTCAGATTCTTGAGAATAAACTGAGGGTTATGGAAGGTGACCAAGTTTTTGGTGCTGCCGCTAGAGAGATGTGCCTAGTATATGGTCTTGTAATTCCTGGGAAATTTAAGACTCCTAACTTTGATAGATGTCAGGTCCACATATATCCTAAAATCCATCTTGTTATGTACTACCGGAAAATGGCTGTCCATTTTGAAGATGATAAGCTCATGATCCACTACTTTCAAGACAGCTTGAAGGGTGCCCCTTCTAAGTGGTACCCAAGCCTTTATCGAAGTCGTATTCGTTGCTTACAAGACTTGCCTAATGATTTCATAAAGCATTACAAATACAATATGGATATGGCTCCAGATAGAAGACAATTGTTGAATAGGTCTCAGAAGGACAAGGAGTCGTTCAAAGAGTATGCACAACTTTGGAGGGAAATGGCTTTTCGAGTTGAACCACCTTTGGCAGAAAAATAATTGGCATATTGGTTTATGGATACGGTACAACCAATTTTTTATGAGAGGATGGTGGCCAGTGTGTCTGCAAGTTTCGCTGATTTAGTTTCGATAGGTCTAAAGGTCGAACTTGCTCTAAAAAATGGGAAAATGATAAATACTGCTAGAATTTCTAACAACAACAATGCTCTCAGGGTTGGCAGAGTTTTCTAGGTTTCCTGCAAAATAGAATCCCATTTCCCCTCACAGGTGAGTACTAAGACTTTCGTGAAGGTTCTTAGAGTCACAGATCCATCTTGAGAGTACCCTCATCAGTGCAAAAATAACTTACAAACCCAATGATACTCCCAAAGGAATCTCCTCTAAGTGAGGTTTCCCTCTACTTCGAAAAGTCACGGGTTGCTAAAGGTCCCTAGAGTCATGGGTTCCCTTTGAAAGAATGTCCTTCAATGCAAAATGACTCACATGCTAGAAAAACCTCAAAAGTAATCTACTCTAGACGAGGTCTTCGTACCTTCCCACCAAGATAACTACATCCGGCAAGTTGGTAGAGAACTCCCAAACCATCTCAAGTATACTCTCCAAGCCTAGGTATTGGGCTTATCACTCAATAGCATCATGAAAACATTCCCCACGAGAGAAATAAAAAAGATATAGTCAAGATCTAACATCAATAAATAAAGCAAGTAAAGTAGTAGAAATAAACACCCACACATAATATAAAAAACGAGACTAGGTTTAACTTGCTTAGAGAAAATTCCCCGGCAGAGTCTCCAATTATCGCTACGCGAAAAATACACAGAGTCAACATCAAACTTTATTTATTCCGAAGAAAGGGAAAATATTAATAAAACCCCTAAAATGTGAAGAAAATGGTCTCATAGTCAAATTCGGGTTCGGAAGTTGGTTATGCAAAGGGAAGGTATTATAACCCCTCACATCCATCATACTCGATGGGGATCATCTTGTTTGTCTATGCGTAAATGGGTGTCTTTTATCTAAAGGTTACTTGCTAAAGGAAAAAAGTTTTAAATTAGTGTGCTCGCCAAGGATTGGAGCTCTCGTGCCTACGTACACTCATGGTGCAATGAGGAAGTCAGAGTCTCGTAGTTCGTGGAACTAGAGGTGGAAAAAAAGGTTACTCGCCAAGATCTCGCAATCTAATAATCATTTAACAATTTATGACAAGAATATGGAAGAGATAAATAATAACCAAAGGAGAGGAGGTTTGTTCCGGTTAATGTTGAAATTCAGTGTGTCAAAGCGTAATATAGAAAACATCAAGAATAAGCTCGAATTAGCATTCAAGAATTGGTGATTAGGATGTGATAGAAAAGTGATCCATGCTTGAATCTTGATGAAATTGTTGAAAATTGATGGATACTTGAATTATTGAGAATTGTGATGAAACTTGAATTGTTGAATGATGATTGTTGAATGTTTGTGGCTAAGTTCTACCAAATTAGAATTTCAATGTAAAGTTCTAAAATGGTGATGAATATGAGATTTGGTGAAGGTTAGGGAATGAAGAGAATGATGAGAGATGGTGAGAAAAATGGAAAAATGGTTCAAAGTGATTAACTCCCCAAAATTGAGAAAAAAGAAGGTTTATATAGATTTTTTGGTTAGTTATGGTTCATTGGATTGTGATCCAAGTCATTACTTTATCAACGGTTATGAATTAATCCAAATGTTAGTTGTAGATCATGAATCTTAGCCGTTAGGTTAATTGTTATCAATGGTTGAGGTTTGATTGAAAAGTGGTTTGCTTTTGTGTTAGTTTGTGAGCTTTAAGGAAGTTAAAAGTTAGTTAGTGGGTTTACGGGAAAATGGGTAAATGTACGATTTTGTGTTAAAATAGGTAGTTAAAGGTAGTTAGAAGCAAGACATGTTTGTTTAGGGGTAAGGTGAATGGTCATTTGGTTAGAACTTGAAATTGACTTGAATTTACTTTGATTTTACTTTGAATTTTGCCACTTTTTTCATGCCTTTTTGATGAACCAAACTATGGACTTAAGTTCTCTTAGGGAGTGTTCTAGGAAATTCGGGAATTAAACTCGAGTCGATGGTCAAAAGTTGACCGAAAGTCAATAGTTGAGCAAAAAGTCAACTTTATCAATTTGATGTAATTTTTTATTTTCTTTCCTTATAATCCATTCTTTCAACTTGTATCTCAAGAAATAAGCATTGTACCATGAATTTCCAGTAAATAAATGAAATCTTCTTTTTGTTCTAATTTTTCCCCTTTTCTTTGAATTTAAGCAAACTTCTGAATTGAGTGACAATCAATCGAATCTCCTGACTAACCATGAATCTCAAATAAAGAGATGATCTGCACCAATATGAAAAATAAATCCGAATAATTATTAAATAAGATCTACCTTAAAAGTTCACTTGAACTGATTAAATCCACTATTATCGAATCTGAACTAAGTGTAATCTTTTGTGATATGTAATTGACAATAATGATCTATATTGGACATTTGTACTTGCTAATAATTGCACAAAAAGATTAGAAGGATAGATGAAAACACTATTAAAAACAAACAAACCATATTACTTAAGTTACAAGCTATTCCATGCCAAGAATCAGACTAATAAACAGTAAAAGATATGATGATATATTATATTAATTTAAAGTAATTCTTTCCTTTAACAGCAAAATTATAGATGCCATTAATTAACCCTTCACAGCACCCTATCCTTCTCATCACAGTTGATTCCTTCTATATTGCTCAACTACAAACTGTACAACTATTCAAAGGATTATGGGGATGAACACAAGTTTAATGAGAGGAAAAGGTTAATATTAGATTTGTTTTCCTATCATAATACTCATTATTTGTATACTAATTAGTGCATTATCATTATGATTTTGCATCACAGGATTGTCAACCTCCCAGGTGTTGAGTTTGGTGATGAATAAACTATATAAACAATTTGTTGAGAAAGATACCAAGGAGTTTGGAGCATTCCATGTTGCTATTCTTGATACCTTCAAGTAAGCATGCAATTTATTCCAATGAAATTTAGTCATCTTTTAATTTCTTGCCTTTCAATATTTTAATATTTACGAAGGTCTAAAGTTCGAACCCTGCTGATAAAAAATATATATATAAAAAAGACAGTGCGGAAGATGTTCAATCATGTTCCTCAACGGGGATTAGTCATCGACAAAACTAGTTAATAGTTCACATCTATAATCGCAATAATTTGATCAGATTATCACCATAACAAAGAATCAAGTTTTATGCAGTACAATGAACGTGGCTGTACCGGGGAAGCATTATGATGCCCCGTCGTATAAGGATGTAAAGGTTTGTTATCTGATACAATTTGTCTCGTAGATAAATAAATATATTAGGAAAACTATTCATGGTCTTGATTTTCAAACTACAGGAAGTTTTCAAACGTTGGAAAGAGTCTGATGAAGAAGACCGAGAGGAGATGTTCATAGACTTCATGAATAAGAATGTGAATCTCAACAAAGTAGATGAATCTATGATAATCACCGCAATAGTTGCACCACCAGCAGCCATGGTGGCTAAAAGAACCGGACAAACAACACTGCCTCAGTTGAAATTTATGAATGCCATTCCTGATGCTGTCTTTGTTCCTTCGGCTACTGTTTTGGCTCTCATTGCTGTCAAACTCCTAAGGTTAATGTTCAAAGAAAACAACACAACATCAAAGGCCGCAACAGGATCACATGAAACTACTACGTCAGAACATTCACAACAAGACATACAAAAAACTGCATCAGAACATTCACAACAAGACATACAAAAAACTGGATCAAATCATTCACAACAAAAAACTGCATCAGATTATTCACAACAAGACATACCGAAAATTGCATCAGAACATTCACAACAAGACATACAAAAAACTGCATCAGAATCCAATGCAACACAAGAGATGATAAAAGCTGCATCTGATGCACATCAACTCACCCCCAAGGGCAATTACTGTGCCTTGTGTAAGAAGGTTCATGACTAATGATTAAAAGTCCTATAAACTATTTTATGTTCATGTGATGTGATATACTCTTTCAGGGCTTAATTATATGTAAATGTAACTGCAATTCACTTATTAAAAATTTTACAAGTATTTTTTGTAAAAAATTTTACATTAAAATTATATAGTTTGTGGTAAACGTTAGGACATCAAGATGACCCTTAGTGTGTAAACGTTAGTATAATTATTATGTTTTGTGGTAAACGTTAGAATAATTATTATGTTTTGTGGTAAACGATAATTACACTAAAATATTTTAGTATTTTAATAAATTATTTAACATTTAAATTTTAATTATATATTACTATTTCCAGTATAATTATATATCTTAGTTAGTATTTAAATACTATACGTTAGTTAGTATAATTATATGTTAATTATTCATTATTATAAATTATTTAGCATTTAAATATTATTTACCATTTTAATAAATGTTGGCATTTTAATTAATATTTACATTATAATTATATATTACTCTTTAAATATAGTAAAATATTTTAACAAATTATTATAATAAAAAATTAATAGCACAAAATTAGACACTTATCTCCTTCAAATATTTGATATCAATGTTGATACTTCTTCAAAACATTTTTTTCTAATCATCTTCATTTCATGAACTTTTAATCTTTGTTGTCCTAACACCATCGATAACACTAATAGGAACAAACTAACTATTTTGTACAACATCCCATATATCTTCTCATTGTGCTTCTAGATGCGTCTTCATACGAATTTTCCAAAAATCAAAGTATTCACCACAGAAAAATGGAGGCTTGTTATTTCTTCCACCATCTCTTAACACTGGGGTTGCATAAGCCATTTTGGATCTTTAAGAAATAGGTTACCTATAACCTGCTTTGATACCAATTGTTAGTATATGCACTGTCTCTAAGAGGGTGTGAATTAGATTTATCAGACTTTTATCAATTTGAAGTGTTAACACTGGTTTTGTTATTTTTAAAAATGATATGAAAGTAAATAAGCTGAAAAATTAATGCGTAAAGTAAAGGACACAACAATATATCTTGGTTCCCCTCACAATCCGAGAATACTCCAGTCCCCTCACTCCTCTTGAGATATTTTCCACTATGTCAGATCTTTGTACAATTCTTCAACCAAGACCTATCCTACAATCTTCTAACATATATAGCACAATCAATAAGGACAATCCCCTTATGATCTTTATAAAATACAATAAGAGAACAATCCTCCCTTATTCACTCTTTTGCTTCCAACAATCCTGGAGAGCAAGGTATACCATAATAATATGAATTTGTAACAAAAGTTATAGCTCTTAAATAAATTATGTGTTAATTTATTTCCTATTTGTATTGATCACAATCCAAACATATACACCTAAGTGCTACGAATAATATGAATGAAACTTTAATGAATATGTATGAAAGTTCATGCACAAAGTTTTATATTTGAAAGTTTTATATCAAGGTATATCAATTCCTAGAATTGATCTTCTCTATCAAGTAAACAATTCATAATATGTAACACAAGTGCTCAATGGTTATAGTGTTGAAATTTTCAGAGATGAATGAAAATGTATGCAGTAAGTTTCAAATAAAAAGTTAAGTCACAAGACACTTGTTTTGAAAATGAGAGAGTAATGAGTTTTAATTGCTATGAAAAAGATGAGTTTCAAATTCTTAAATGCATGGTTTATATAGTACCTGGACACCTTTCTAAAAGTGTACCAATGCATGAAAAGATGTCATGGTCTAAAAATGCTTTAAAAAATCCGTTTGCATCAGAATTTTTATGAAAAAGTGTTACTGGTTAAATGGTAACTGATTACCATAAATGGTGTAACCGGTTACACCTAACACATTTTCAAAAATTAAGGTATTTATACATTTTGAGAAAATGGTGAAATTTTGGCCGTTTTAAAGTGTTGTTACGGCGGTTTGAAATGCCACAATTTACCAAAAACATAATGGTTGATTTCAAAATCATTTTAAAAGACACATGAACGGATTAAGATGAATATGCATGATTTTTATGAGCAATTAAAATTCAATTGTAATGCATATTCAACCATCTTGATTTTTCCATTAATTTTCCAAGTTTTTTTTTATAATTTGAACTTAATTTCTCTAGCCTTCAAGCTTTGCTTCTTCTTTTTATTGATGTGTTTGTCTTCACCAAAACAATACCAAGGACAAGAATAACTCTTCTTCATAGACTCATAAACTCATATACGTTTACGAGTCTAGGAAGCATAAACGAGTAGACTCATGCATAAAATTATTTTTGATAGACTCGAGTAGATTCGCGCAAACTCGTATAGAATCCCGAGTCTCTAACAAGTTTACGAGTCTATATGTTTTTAAAAAAAATTTTAAACCAAAAAATGCCTAAATTTTCCAAAAGATTTTATTTTATTTATAATAAAACCTCTTGTTTTTTCTTGTACAAGAATTAGAAAGTCTTTCTCCTAGTCCCATGTTTCAACAAAGTTTATTCCTTCCTTCATCAACAACGTGAGCTTGTTTTGTATCATTCTTTGTTCGTGTTCATGGCCATAAATCAATCATTTGTTGTGTAAATATTTTCCTATATGTTTCAATTGAATGTTTCTCATGTATGATATTTTATGTAAAGGTGATGCACTATTGTCCAATCAGGTCCAATCATCCTAATACACATGTATAAATTTACATGTGACAAAATAGTTTAGAAAATTTATGATTTATGGCAGAAAATAGTTTAGGAAGGATATGTTACCTACTGAAGGGTGGTATTTCTATGGAGATATGACTCTAGAATTAAAGAGGTATGCAATTCGTATTTTAAGCTTAACTTATAGCTCATCTAGTTGTGAATGTAATTGCAGTTTCTTTGAAATGGTAATGAATTTTTATTTTTATTTTTATAGACTTGATTTTAATTTTTTAGAAACATTTAATTGAATTATTATTTACTTTTTAGATTCATACAAAGAGAAGAAATATGTTGCATCAAAAAGAGGTGAATAATTTGGTTTATAAATTAAATAGTGTTGTTATTTCATTTGAAGATCGTCATTCAAGAAATGACAGTGGCGAAGTCAGACTATAAAGTTTGAGGTGGCCACAAAATTAAACTATAATTTATATATCAAATATTCATACCAAAATGCATATAAAATATTTAAGTCAGCAAAAACAGACACAAAAATTTACTCCACCACACAAAACCTAGAATGGAGGTACCCAATAAAACTACTGTATAGTGATTCCCTTCTCTAAAAATGTGAGAAATAATGAAATTCATACCATAAATTTTGTATATACTAACACTTTTTTTCTATAAATATGGCACAATACTTCAAGCCCAATTTATATATTTTAATCTCAACAAAAAATATTTTGCAAAAATAAAATTAATTAATATGTGCAAGGAAAAATAACACTAATTTTGTTGAATCTTAACTATACTCTAATAATTTGAGTACTACAAAAAAAAAATGAATACCAAAATATAAAGTTCAACTAGAGACTAGCAATCAAATTAACAAAACATTATTATATGGTAATAAATAAATAACAACTTATTTAAAGCTTAAGAGACAAATCAAGTTCGCAAGATTCAGAATTTGAGGGTTCTCCTTTTCCATTGATAGACTTCGATTGATGAACATCATCCTTGGTAGAAGTAGGAGCCAAAATCACTTTCTTTTCCATGTTTGAATTTAAAATTAAACTTGTACCCCCAATACTTAGATTTCCAACCATGCTATTACCATTCCTCATGTTTGTCAATGACACAAGAGAAGGGTTTAATCTCTCTTGTAAATACAAAGCACCATTAGCATATTCAAAACTATTTGAAGTAAACCTAGGGTTAGGGTTAAAATATGCTGGTTTTTGAATTGTTGAATCAATTCTATTCCCAAGCAAGTTATAATTATAAGGTCTAAAAAGAGTATTTGAATAGCTAAAATAAGGATGAAACCGAGGTTGTCCAAAACGTAATGCACCAGCTGTCTCGTACCTTTCTTTACGCATTTTTTTTAAAGCACGTTCGGCTTTATGAGCATTCTGGTGTCCTCCTAAAGCTTGTGAATTTGAAAATTGTTTCCTACAAAAAGAGCATGAAAAAATCTTTGAATCTGAATTCTTCTCTTCACTTTTGTTTTCATGTCTCCTTTCATTATTGTTTTTTGTAGGACTAAAAAAATCACGTTCTTGCAAATTCGACTCTGAAACAGAATCGCCTTTCAAAAGTTTCACGAAACTAACAAGGTTGTTGGTGTTGGCGTCTGAGGATTGATCTTGTTTAATCTCCTTTATTTTCACCACTTCTTTAGAGTGAGAAGAATCACTTTGATCTTGTAAAGTGGTTGAGGTGCTAGAGGATTCAGATGCCATGGCAAAAACTAGGGAAACAAGTAAACTAAACCTATTGTTGGAGAATAAAATTGAGGTTCTTTTATTCGATGACAAGGGTTATTTATTTTAAAAATATTTGAGTTAATGCAAATATCTTTATATAAGGAAAGAGATTTCATCATATTCATATTTTCTTAATTCATTATTTGAGTTACAATTATAATAGCTAAAGATTGAAAACTTAAAATGATGTTTACCGATTCATTTGTGCATTAATATATTTTCCTTTCTTAAATAATTTCAAATTGAGAAGCAAAATTAGAAACTTGGAAATTATATCGCACATGTTTAGATTTGATTGATTATATATATATATATATATATATATATATATATATATATATATATATATATATATATATATATATATATATATATATATATATATATATATATATATATATATATATATATATATATATATATATATATATATATATATATATATATATATATATATATATATATATATATATATATATATATATATATATATATATATATATATATATAAACTTGGAAATTATATCGCACATGTTTAGATTTGATTGATTATATATATATATATATATATATATATATATATATATATATATATATATATATATATATATATATATATATATATATATATATATATATATATATATATATATATATATATATATATATATATATATATATATATATATATATATATATATATATATATATATATATATATATATATATATATATATATATATATATATATATATATATATATATATATATATATATATATATATATATATATATATATATAATTTAACACTTATAAAAAAAATTAAAGAAGTTTAGTCCCAATTAAACAAAGTTAAATTATTAATACTTTATGCGGTTAATACTAGTATATAAAAATTGTATATATTTCCAAAGAATAAAAATATCTAAAATGAGTGTTTGTAATTTTCTCTCTTATATTAATATTATTTAGCCATTTAAAAAAAATATAACAATTGTCCTTTGACATTTGCTTAATTATGCATAGTAATAATCTTTTAAGTTAAAAAGTTAAAGAAGAGTTTAAGATCGTTTGATATGAATGTAAAGATGAAATATATCATGATAGGGCATTGACGTGTAAAATAGATATTTATTATTTAGTTATATCATATAATTAATTTAAAAATATTAAGATAATTTGACCCAAAACAAAATGATAGTAATTAGTTGAGAATGTAAAATTGTTTTACATTGTGAATGTATATCATTTTTTCTCATACTATAAACAGAATTATCCTGAAAAATTTGGAGGTTATTTTCTGATAATAAAATATAACAATTAATAAAAATGATAATATATTTTTGTTATAAAAGAAATAATAGATCAAATTCCATACAATACTTCGTAGAAAGATTTTTAAATAATTAATTATATCGATTGTTAATTAAAATGAAATTTATGAGAATATTTTTAAGATAAAGTTGTTTCAAATTATTTTTATAAATTAAAAAAATAATTTTTACATCTAATAATGTAAAAATTAATTATTAAAGATTTTAACATAATCAAAATAAAAGGATAAAAGAATAAAACACTTTTAAAACAATTTATGAAAAAATTATTTAAATTCATTTTTTTATTCAAATTTTTTTTACCTAAAAAATAAGTGTTATATTTTAAAAGGTTTAATGAAGATGCAATTAAAGTGTAAAAAAATTATACACTCTCAACCAATAAGAATATATCATTATATCATGTCATATAATTAATTAAAAATTTTCTGTTTAATTTAGCGGAATGCATGATTGACATTGATTGACCGTATAAAATTAATTTATACTATTAGTACATCAGGTTTTTTCTCTACTTTAAATAAAAATACATTTATTTGCCGGACCATAAATTTCTATAGAATCTCTATAAAATATTTCCAATTAATTTGTTATTAATTTATTTCTATCAATGAGTTTGGCAAGTATAAAATTCCTAGGAATATATTTAGGTTTTATTTCAATTAAATTTAAAAAATAAAAAAATTAAATATAAATGTGTTAAAATAATATGAAAGTGGAAAGTTATGGCTAATTATTTTATATCCGATAGAAATGCAAGATTCTGATCCTTGGAAATAAAAGTTAAAAAAATCATGAATAAATTATATTTCAAGGAATAAAATGTATCCGTGAATAATTTAATAAAACTTGAAACAATCAAAGGGAGTAACATTAACACTGGTCGGACTAGGTTGTGGTTTAATGATCTCCTCGACTGTTGCATTAAATCATGGAGAAATTTTGCAATTGGCTCACCGCTTAATTTACTGCACAGAAGAGGAGACCAGTTACTATAGTTGCTTTGAGCAGCATCATGCAAGGAGCGAAGGCAAGCCTATGATCATATATATATATATATATATATATATATATATATATATATATATATATATATATATATATATATATATATATATATATATATATATATATATATATATATATATATATATATATATATATATATATATATATATATATATATATATATATATATATATATATATATATATATATATAGCATTAGACATCAACAGAGAAATTATTAAAATATGTGCTCAATAATACTCATCAACAGAGTAAAACATATTATTAATCAAATATGTTCATTAACAACGCAAGAAAATTATTATACATGTTCAATATTACTCATCATTAGAGTAAAAATATTATTACTCATGTGTATATATATATATATATATATATATATATATATATATATATATATATATATATATATATATATATATATATATATATATATATATATATATATATATATATATATATGTGTGTGTGTGTGTATATATATATATATATATATATATATATATATATATATATATATATATATATATATATATATATATATATATATATATATATATATATATATATATATATATATATATATATATATATATATATATATATATATATATATATATATATATATATATATATATATATATATATATATATATATATATATATATATATATATATATATATATATATATATATATATATATATATATATATATATATATATATATATATATATATTCAACATTACACATCAACAGAGAAATTATTAAAATATGTGCTCAATAATACTCATCAACAGAGTAAAACATATTATTGCTCAAATATGTTCATTAACAGCGTAAGAAAATTATTATACATGCTCAACATTACTCATCATTAAGGTAAAAATATTATTACTCATGTAAGCCCATCAACATTGTAAGAAAATCATTATACATGCTCAACATTACTCTTCAACGGAGTAAATATATTATTACTCATGTAAGTCCACCAACAGGGTAAAAAAATTATCATACATGCTCAACATTACTCATTAACAGAGTAAACATATTATTACTCATGTAACCCACCAACAAGGTAAGAAAATTATTATACATGCTAAACATTACTTATCAACAGAGTAAACATATATTACTCAAATATGCTTATCAATGGGGTAAGAAATTATTATACATGCTCAACGTTACTCATCAATAGAGTAAAAGTAATATTTTGCAACTCCCACATTCAACAGGGTCAACTCATAATCCATCAGACAACTCAATACAACACATTATTATTTACCTTAAACTCTAAAGTTGTCAAAAGGACTCTAAACTCTTCAAAAGGCAACGAATAGACACCAAAAGCGTAAAACTACTCAAAACTTACAGAACTTGACCGCAAGACTCGCCGTCGTCGACCTACCACACGCCGTGCTACCCACTCGCCCACCTCGCGCTGCCCGACTCTCGTTTTTTTTTAAAACTTTTTAAACTTTTATTTTTTATTTTTTTTACTTTTCAACTTTCTCGACTTTTTCGACTTTAACCTTTTTTCTACTTTTTGATTTTTTTTACATTTACGATATTCTTCCTATTGAACATATTTACGAATCACAAGCAACCTCCATACACAAACAATACATAATTATCAACAAGGCATCAACAGTGCTATCAAGTCAGAGTATAAATTAAATGAGAATACATATCATATTATTCAAGAATAAAGGAAACATTCAATCAATCGCATCAAAGGGATTTTCTCAAACCCTCTTTGGCCACAATAAAAGGGAGAAGATAGAAGGATAATGAACCCTCAATATCCCTTTGTTTAGCCACCTATATACGAATAATTCTCTCTTACCTCAAAATTGCAGAGTGGTGAAACTTTGCCTTTTAGGATTCTCTATGTTCTTCCAACGCTCTCTTAGGTTTCTTTCTGCCTCTTTCCCAACTTTTCATGTACTCCAATTTTTCCTTCTAACTTCTCTATTTAAAATAAAATAACCATAATCCTCATAATTTTAATAAATCTAACAACACCTCACCTCTTACTAATCCCACAATTTCTTCCTTAATTTTAATAACAATCTATTTTCTCCTCAAACTAATTATCCTCACAATTTCAATTATCCTTAGTTAATTTAAATATTAAACTAATTATCAATAAAAACTAAACCATCCAATAATTAAATAATACTCATCTAATCAAATAAACACACCTCAAACTTAAATAGTTATAAAATAAATAATATAAAAAATACTAAAATAATACTAATAGTATTAAAATTAAAACTAGGATGTTACACTAATAGGAGGATGATGGTTGTTACGACAAGTACACACCTTTGAATACTTCTCGAGATAAGATTTATCAGGAGTGCTCTAACACTGAGTTTCAAAAAGTAAGAATCTGACCACCATTCCCTTTTCGAGAGTCTTCTCAAACAGATAAATCAAAGCATAACTGCATATAGCCGGTCTCATGCCACATTATTATAAGTGCGACTCAAAGCATATCCGCATACAGCCGATCTCATGCCATATTATTTTAAGTGCAACTCAAATCATAGTCGTATCTATCCGGTCTCAGGCCATATTATTATAAACGTCAACCTCAAAATCAATAAA